AGGTTGCAGCTTTTGGCACTCTTCTTATCCAATTGACTCCATTTTCTTTTCCATTAAATTTTGCGTCTTTTTAAAATCAAAATCAAAATAAAAATGATTAATAAAAAGACAAAACAAAAAGTGTTTTTTTTTTTTTATTTACAAAAAAATAATATTAAAAAAAAAAAAGAAAAACGTCGCCTGAGAGATTCGAACTCTCGCGGGGAAACCCCATGTACTTAGCAGGCACACGCCTTAACCACTCGGCCAAAGCGACGTCTTGAAACATACGTCAGTTAATTTATATGTCATACACTACCGTCGTCTCTGATTCTGGTGGCCGGAAAGTGGAATCCATGGCACGATTTTGCAGAATTTGAAAAAGGGTGCGATTTTTATTTGGGAAAAGAAACGTTACAATAGCGGCTGGGGTTGATGGCGGCGGATAACAACACCGGCGCCTCCAGCCTCTCGCTTATGGGTTTTGCCTTCACAGTCCTCTGCTACTTGTTGCTCACGCTGAAGTCAGACAGCAAATCCTCCCCTAGTGCTGCTGTTTCACTTCTAAATCATGTAGCTTGAAGATTTGTGCAATAGGTAAAGAGATTTCCCAACTACTTTCACACCCGCTCTGCAGTTATTTTATTTGACTAATTAGGGACTCCTGCCCAAGACCAATCGAATAATGTGTGTTGCAATCTTGCTGGAAATGAATTCATTTATGTGTGACATTACTTTGTGGATATGTCCAAATCCAGAAATGTTGTTGTTTACTTATATAATATTTTGATCTTACTACTTGACTTTTATCTTAACTAGTCAGTAATTTGATGACTTTTGATATAGCATTTTCATTTAATCGGCGGCGGTGGCGGCCTTTTCTTCTTACTTGTTGTCGACTGTCCTGTGACTCCTGTCCCGTCGAGAAATAATTTGATGGCTTTAGTGGATTACAGTGTTAATTTCTCTTGCAAGATATCTCCTCACAGTTGAGCTGTAGTTGATGGATTTCCAGCTATCCTGTTACACAACTTTCTCATTGTTCCTGTTCAATTATAATCGCAGGGACTCTGAGAAGATCAGCCCTTTTTACTTATGCAAGAAAATATCGTATCATCCTTGCACAGAAAAATAACTACAATCATATATTCTAAATCTAGAGAAACCATTGGGCGGGCAAGTAGTATTGGAGACACCCAGCCAGCTGTGAAATGCAAATTGAATTGAAGAATAATAAAATCCCACTTCTCTTTACAATTATTATTTCCTGTTTACCACATCTTACAATTGGTTCTGAATTGTCCAATTACACACATATAGATTAGCCGCCCGCAGATGTATGTTGATTTAACGGTTATGTTGGGAGCATATATATGTGTTGATCAACCAATCCAAAACCTGGCGTGGGGAGTGAATTTTTTCACCTCCACCATTATTCATCATTTAAAGGTTGTGGGTGTATGCATACATGACAATACCAAGTACCATTTCCTGCAAGAAAAAAACTTCGTCTTCAAAGCAAAGAATACACCAGAAGCACAAATCTTAGATCCGACTAAATTGCCTTCCCAACCACTGCAAGTTTTTCCATATACATCAATCTGATACACAAAGAAATTTCAAATTACAGACTATAATATCATATCCAGAAAGAGGGTATAAAAAGAAAAAAGCACATCAAGGTTCAATTTTTAAGCACAGGCACACGGATTATCCACCGCCGCAATCAAATCCCCCTCGCCGGACCTAAACAGAAAATACCCAAAGCCCAAACCAACCACCACCGCCACAAACACGCCTCCGTTAAACGACATGATCGCCAGCATCAGAAGATATCCGATCGCCGAATTGACCCCGAACAAGATCGCTCCGGCATACCGCGACGGGGCCCACCCGGCCTTCGAGAGGAGCAGGGGCGCGGCGGCTCCGGACGGCACGTTTGACGCCAGATTCTTCCGGGTCGCCGGCAGCATCTTGAACCGGAGGCGCCGGTCCTCCATGTACTGGTAGAAGACGGCGATGAAGAGGCAGGCGAGTAGAGAGAGAAAGTAGGCCGGCCACGACTCGGTTTTCCATGAATCGAATAGGATGGTGACCCTTTTGCCCCAGTAGAAGGTCATGTGCATCATCTTCGGCAGAGGAAGCTGAAAAATTCTTGCTCTGGTTTTTATTTTTTTGGTTGTTTGAAGTGGTGAATTTTGGTAAAGATAGGATTTTTATCTATTGGTGGTTTAGTTGTTTTTTGTTTGGTGATGGGTGGATGGAGAAAAAGGACCCACCTAACCTTACTGTGGGGCTGGATACATTTATTGGGTCATGGACTCATGGGGAGGGTTATTATTGAACCGAATCGAACAGAGCTTATGGTGTCCGCGCTCGAGTTCGACTAATTTTCGAACATGTTGTTCGTTCGTTTATTGGTTCGACGCGTTTGTGTTCGTTCGTTTATCTTGTCGTACTTGTTCATGAACGGTTCGACATGTTCGTGTTCGTGTTTTTTAACTTTTTTTTTTATTCTAGTGATATAGTACAAGTTATTTTATTTAATTATTTAAAATATATTCATATTTATATTATATATATGTATATACTATATATAATATATAAATTTATATTTATATAATATTTAAAATATATTCATACTTATATATTATATTATACATGTATATACTATATATAATATATAAAATTATATATAAAAAAAAATTTGTTCGCTAACGCTCGATTAGTTCATGAACTTGTTCGTGTTCGTTCGATAACTAAACGAACATAATTTCATGTTTGAGTTAGGTTCGATTGCTGAACGAACGAGTTGCTATCGAACACGAACGAACTTTGTTCGCAAACAGCTCGTTTCGATAACAGTCCTACTCATGGGTGAGGAGTGGATTATTCAATGTGTGATTGTATTAAATGTTGAAAAATGCTATAAACACATAATAAATGTACATAAAGTATACATAACATAAGGTTTACTTGATTTTTTATTTTTAGTAAGCACCTACTGTCATGGACACAAGCTGGAATAGCAAGAATGAAGGAGAAGAAGAAGGATTAAAGAGGAAAAATGGGTTCTTGGAGTCTGATGAGATAAATGGGACTAGGGTTTCAGAGGAAATTGAGGAAGATGAAGACAAAGTGGAGTCAAGTGGACTGTTTCCTAAGTGATATGTTTTATCTTACTTGGGCCATTATAGGGTCAGTTTATTTTATTTGTTTTGAATGCTTGTTATTGGGCTGTTAGAGTTATGTAATCAGCCCAAGTATGTTTATTTGGCGGGACCCGATTAGTAGTGTTAAATGTGTGCAAACTGGAAAAAAGGGGATTATTATGAAAAGCAAATATTTCTGTTACATCTCTCTCCTTCTTCTCTCTCCCTCCCTTCACGCATTTTCTGTATCTATCACCCTCATCCTTTCATCTCTACTCAACAATCATAAATACAGATAAATCAAAAAAATAGTTACACCCAAGTTGTAACAATTGGTATCAGAGCCAGCGTTCCTACCATGGCTGAAGCTACTCGTTTTAAGGACCTGCAAGAAGCACAAAGGAAGATCGATCAAACCTTACAAACCGAGGCATTAAAGAGAGAAGCAACTGAAATGAAACTCCAGGAACAGATCTCAAATCTGGGCTCAGAAATGAAGGGTTTAAGCTCAGAAATGCAAAGTAAGTTTGACAATCTATCAAACACCTTAGCTGCAATGCAGTTACAGCTTCTTAACCTTGATAAAGGGGAGAATAATGAATCCATTTTTGGCCCCTACCCGGGATCTAAATCAGAGAAAACTAATCAACAACAATACACACCAAAACCAAAGTTACAGTGGGAACAACAACAATCAAATCACCACATGATCAGCCCACTACCAAAGGTTGATTTTCCACACTTTGATGGAACTGGACCAAGGGCTTGGATATTGAAGTGCAACGGTTATTTCAAAATTATTCATAACATCCCAGATCATCAGAAAATAACCTTAGCATCAATGCACTTTGAAGGCAAGGCAACACAATGGTTTCAGAGTTTTAACAGTAAGTGTGATGATATTACCTGGGCCCAATTTATTGAAATCATTTCAGCAAGGTTTGAGGAGCTGAAGGAATCTAAAATCATAGGGGAATTCAACAAACTGAGGCACACAGGTTCTTACTTGGATTATGTGGAAAAGTTTGAAGAACTCAGGGCTTGTATGTTGTGCATGAATCAGGGTTATACAGAAGACTATTTCATTGCAAGTTTTATCAGTGGTATGTCTGAAGAATTACAATCATTTCTAAATATGTTTGAACCCCAAACCCTCCAACAAACCATAGAACTTGGCAAGAAACAACTCATTACCCTTGATGCCATCACCAAAAAACTCAAACACCCAACCAAAACTTTTCCTAACACATATCAGCCACCCAAGAAAGTGGATACCCACAACCTCACCCCTAACAAGTTCAGTCCAAATTTTAAAAACCCTGTCAAACTCCTCACAGCCTCTGAAATGGCAGCCAGAAGGGAAAGAGGCTTATGCTATAACTGTGATGAACAGTTCACCTATGGGCATAGGTGTAAGCACAGATTGAACTACATGACTATGACAGAAGAAGAGGAAATCAACTATCTAAACTCCTCAATTTTGATTGAAGGAGGGACAGACTCTTCTGAAACCATTGAAGAAGTACAAATGTCTCTAAATTCAATATCTGGGGAGGATGGAATAACAACTATGAGGGTTTTTGGTAATACCAAAGGGCACAAACTCCACATACTTATTGATTCTGGGAGTACACTCAGTTTCATTCAAGCAAGTACAGCCAAGACATTGGGACTCAATCTAACATCTGCCAAACCCTTGAGAGTTAGAGTAGCCAATGGACAGAGCATGATCAGCTCTTGTATTGCAGAGGGATTTCAGTGGACTATGCAGGGACATAATTTCAGTTATTCCCTGAGGGTCCTGGATAATGTGGGGTGTGATGTGATATTGGGGGGTGACTGGCTAAAAAGTTGTACCCCAATTGAGTTAGACTATGAAAAGATGAGTTTCACAGTCACCTTAAATGGGAAAAGAGTTAGGGTTCAAGCATTGAAGTCAGAAGCTACCTGTAAATTCATCTCAGGCCCTTCTCTATACAAATTTATGCATGAAGATGCTGGTGACACAATTGAGGAAGTATATTGGTTAGCTGTCAACAAACCAGATCAGCCTAGTGAAGACATTGAGCTTGAGGTTATTTTACAGAAGTATGAGGATGTTTTTCAGGAGCCCAAGGGGTTACCCCCTAGCAGGGGAGTTGAACATCAAATTATCCTCAAACCTTATAGTCTCCCAAGGCATCAATTTCCCTATAGAACATCTCACAGCCAAAAGACAGAAATTGAGAAGTTAGTCAAGGAGATGTTGGAATCTGGAATTATAAAGGATAGCAAGAGCCCCTTTGCTTCACCAGTGATATTAGTGAAGAAAAAGGATGCTACATGGAGGCTATGTGTAGACTATAGATATCTTAATGGGTTAACAGTGAAGCATGATTACCCAATTCCAGTTATTGATGAACTCCTGGATGAACTGCAAGGAGCCAGATATTTTTCAAAAATTGATCTGAGGTCAGGCTATTTTCAGATTTTAATGGACAAGGAGCACAGATATTTGACAGCATTCAAGACACACAATGGTCATTACGAATTTCTGGTCATGCCCTTTGGATTGAGCAATGCCCCTGCCACCTTCCAGTCACTGATGAACAGGGTTTTCAGGCATTTACTAAGGAAGACTGTTCTAGTCTTTTTTGATGACATACTTGTTTACAGCAAGGATTGGAAGGAGCACATACAGCACTTAGAGGAAGTGTTGGTTATTCTTAGGCAGCACAAACTGTTTGCTAAGAAGAGCAAATGTCACTTTGGACAGACCAAAATTGAGTATTTGGGGCACATCATATCCTATCAAGGGGTTTCTACAGACCCACAAAAGATTGAAGGCATGATTAAGTGGCCAACTCCCACTAATCTCAAGCAGTTGAGGGGTTTTCTGGGCCTTACAGGTTATTATAGAAGGTTCATCCAGGGATATGGAATGATTAGCAGACCTCTAACTGAGTTACTAAAGAAGGACCAGTTCAAATGGGGAGAAGAACCAGAAAAAGCTTTTCAAAAATTAAAAAGGGCAATGGTAAATGCACCTGTACTAACCCTCCCTGATTATACACAACCTTTTGTGTTGGAAACAGATGCCAGTGGGAAAGGGGTGGGAGCTGTCCTTATGCAACAGGGAAAACCAATTGCATACATGAGCAAAATGCTGTGCCATAAGAATCAAGCTCTCCCAGTCTATGAAAGAGAGTTCCTTGCTGTTCTTATGGCAGTTCAGAAGTGGAGATATTACTTACAAGGACACAAATTCTTCATCAAAACTGACCAACAGGCACTCAAATACCTGTTAGACCAGAAGGTTGTATCCCCTGTCCAACAAAAGTGGATAACTAAGCTATTGGGCTTGGACTATGAAATTTTGTACAAAAAGGGAGCTGAGAACAAGGCAGCAGATGCCTTATCAAGAAGAGGGGAAGAAGTCCCTATTTGTATGGCTGTTTCTAGTCTTGTTCCATTGTGGGTGCAAGAAGTGCAAGACAGCTATAAACAAGACCCTTTCTTCTCAAAGATCCTAGCAGCTAACACTATTAAGGTGGACTCTTATCCTAAATTCACTATTCAGAATGGAATCATCAGATATAAAGGCAGGGTTAGCATTGGTAACAGGAAGGAGCTAAGGGAAACCATACTCACATCTATGCACAACTCTTCTTATGGGGGGCATTCTGGAATTTTTGGCACTTATATGAGGCTAAAGGGTGTTTTCTACTGGCCTAATATGAAAGCAGATGTCACTAAGTGGGTGCAAAGCTGTGATGTGTGCAAAATAAGTAAAGCTGACACCAGCCCCTATTCAGGGCTGCTACAACCCTTGTCAATTCCAAACCAGGCATGGACTCACATTGCCATGGATTTCATTGAAGGACTTCCCAAATCTGGGGGAAAGGATGTTATCTTGGTGATCATTGATAGATTCACCAAGTATGCACACTTCATTTCTCTAACACACCCTTTTACTGCTCCTACCATTGCCAAAATTTTCTTGGATACTATCTACAAACTACATGGGTTACCAGTAAACATAGTCTCAGACAGAGACAAAATATTCACTAGCAGTTTCTGGAGGGAGTTGTTCAAGTTACTAGGAGTTAAATTGGCTCTCTCATCGGCCTACCATCCTCAGACAGATGGGCAATCAGAGAGACTCAACCAGTGCCTAGAAAACTATTTGAGGAGCATGGTCTATTCTACACCTAGGCAATGGATTAAGTGGTTATCCCTGGCTGAGTATTGGTACAACACCAATTATCATACCAGCCTCAAAACCACTCCTTTCCAAGCACTCTATGGCTACACACCTCCTAACTTTTCATTGGGACCTTATCTAGACTCCATGAGTACTGAAGCCAAAGAAATCATTCAACAGAGGCAAACAATGACACAACAACTCAAGGACAACCTCATTCAAGCACAAGCAAGGATGAAAATGTTTGCAGACAAAAAGAGAGAAGAAAAACAATTCACAGTGGGTGAACAAGTGTTCTTAAAACTGAAACCCTTCAAACAAAGCTCAGTAGCCCTCCGGACAAATGTTAAACTCTCAGCAAGGTATTTTGGTCCATTCCCTATACTAGAGAAGATAGGTGGTGTTGCTTACAAACTGGAGTTACCTGAAGGAGCCCGTGTTCACCCGGTCTTCCATGTCTCTCTTTTGAAACGCCGTGTTCCACCTCAGGCCGGAATCTCCCCACACATTCCTGAAATGATGAATGACACTGAGGTAAAGATCGCACCTTTGGCACCCAATGACAGGAAAATGGTACTAAGGAGTGGAAAGGAAATTACCCAGCCACGAGAGATTAAGTGTCTTACCAAAGTCGCGTTCTCAAATGAAGGTTCGAACTCCGACAACGAGCTCACGGCCAAAACATCGGATCCTTGTGGACAAGGATCTCAAATTCAAGGGGGTATTGTCATGGACACAAGCTGGAATAGCAAGAATGAAGGAGAAGAAGAAGGATTAAAGAGGAAAAATGGGTTCTTGGAGTCTGATGAGATAAATGGGACTAGGGTTTCAGAGGAAATTGAGGAAGATGAAGACAAAGTGGAGTCAAGTGGACTGTTTCCTAAGTGATATGTTTTATCTTACTTGGGCCATTATAGGGTCAGTTTATTTTATTTGTTTTGAATGCTTGTTATTGGGCTGTTAGAGTTATGTAATCAGCCCAAGTATGTTTATTTGGCGGGACCCGATTAGTAGTGTTAAATGTGTGCAAACTGGAAAAAAGGGGATTATTATGAAAAGCAAATATTTCTGTTACATCTCTCTCCTTCTTCTCTCTCCCTCCCTTCACGCATTTTCTGTATCTATCACCCTCATCCTTTCATCTCTACTCAACAATCATAAATACAGATAAATCAAAAAAATAGTTACACCCAAGTTGTAACACCTACTTATATGAGTGTTATATACAACTCTATGTAAAATATTATGTACTTATAGCATTTCTCTTAAATGTTAGGATTGCCTAAACAGTAGTCAGTGACATATTTTTTGGTTAAAATTGTTTGCGTGATAATGTTAAATTAGTTTTTTTAGGTGTTGGAAGTTTTGGTTTTGTTTTGTTTGTCATTTCTTTGATTAATTTTTAATGGTATAGAATATTTGTTTGTGTAACACATAGAGATTGTATTATAAGACTGTCACATGTGAAGAAATTTATTTTCTTTTTTTTTTTCCCTCTGAAACTAAAAATAATATATTAAATAATTTCTTTTAAAATTCTTGTATTAAAAAATGTATTAGATATTTAGTGACAGTGACACAATGTGAGAACAAAGAATGTATAGTTGAATAATATTTATTTTACTAAAAAAAAATACTACCTTATATTTTTAATATATGTCGTTTTGAGAAATTGTACATTAATTAAGAATATATTTTTTGTCAATAATAACCTTATTTAATGAAGATAGAGATGAATGTTTTGAAAAAAAAGTGAAGAGTGAATATGAAAAGACGTAATGTATTTATTAGCTAAATGAGTGTAATAATGGAAAAATATGTATAAAAAATAAAAAATGACATTTATTTAGCAAATAATTGATAAAACAAGAATGACATTTAAAAAAAAATAGAAAAGGAATAATTGCAAAATAAATGGAATAATTGAGATACTTTTATAAAAGGAAAGGAATGTTGGACACAGTTTGCAATTTTTGAAGTACTATTGAGTGTCTTTTGCTACATAACATTTTAATCTTTCTTAAATAAAGATTGTTTTTAATTACGCCTTTGAAATTCGATCCTATCTATCGAAATTTGAGTTTTTCATCGTCGGATCAACACACACTCTTGCGATTATGGAATAGCGAAAAAAGGGGGTGTAACCATGTATGTAGTAGGGTCTGGTTTTCATGTTCCCACCTAACAGCATACATACATAAATGCTGTAAGGTAGTGGTTGGATCATAGTACACTGGAAATACACAACTCAGTGGAAAGTGGAAACAGTCTCTACAGCAATTGCCATTGTTTGATGAAAGGAAGCAGCATCAGGCACAAGTTGTCTCAATCTCAGCAGCCCAGCCCAGCCCCACAAATTTTGTTTGAATAGTTCCTTTTTTTTTTCCTGCCACAGAACAGTGGAAATTAAGCTTGGTACTGCACCTGCAAATTGTGTCCATGTTAACCTTTTCTTCAGGAAGGTTCTATCCCTTTTTCAGTAATTTTTTTCCCATGTTTTCTGTTACCTAAGGTTTGCACAATGCGCATAACTAAAAGGTCACGAGATTTGAACAATGCACATAACAACTAGATGCCACTTCTCTCTCCCAAGGCCCTCGAGGGCAAGATTTCAACTTAATTAACAGACTAAAAGGAAGTGTTTATTTGCCTTTGGAAGTGAAACTAGAAGAAGGCAAACCACATAGGAATCACACTTGTTAAAGGCTCGAAAACACCAGCTATTATGAAATCAAAACTTCAACATAATGAAGAAAATAGAGAGCTTCTACTTTGTGTACAAGTAATATTCCACCCAACAACAAAAAATGCCACACAACTTAAAGATGAAATCATTGATCAGGCTGACAAGTACACAAATTTTATTGAAACCAATAAACTAAAGCTGAAAAAAAATAATAATAATACTCGTAATCTTTCTTCCCAACATTATTATTCCCATGGCAGCCTAAGGTACAGCAACTGTTTAAACCAACAGCACAACCACACTCACTAACCAATGCTAAAAATCAATCCACAGACAATCATTATTTTTTCAAGAATCAAGAGCAGGGAAACAGCTCCCTGACCGGACCAAACAACGGCCCCTCCTCGCCGGCCCAGACCGGCCCGGAGATTCGAGGCTCCTCATAAGCAGGTGCTTCACAGCGGAGATCAGCTCCTCGGTCGGGCTTTCCGGCGGGCTCAAAGTCAGGGTCTTGAACTTCCGGCAGAAGCTCATGTGCTGGTCCAGGGCCTCTTCGTGCCCGATTGTCTTCTCTGACCTCAGCAGCTCGTCCTTCACGGCCTCCGAGCAAAGCCCACATAGCCACCGGCCGGAATAACGGTCACGGACCCGCTTTACGTACTCCTCCGTGCACTCCTCCGTCAGCCCACAACACTCGCACTTGGCTAGAGCGAGCTCCGTTCCTTTCAAAACGGCGGGGGCTTGGGTTGGCTGCGCGAGCTCCATGGAAGCTGGTAGCTAAATTTGGAGAAAATGAAATAGTAAATTTGATTGTTGAGAGGCGATTCGTATAAAGGAAGGAGATTTTAGAAAGTAACTGAAACTTATTCGAAATTCAAAATACGCAAAAGAAGGGGGGAAAAGATTTTGCCGAAAAACCTAATCTTGAAAGTTGAAACGAACAAAATTAAAGCTGCAATAAATTAATTAATATAAAAAAAAAAAAAAATGAATGAATGAATTAATCAATCCCAATTCCCACATTAAAAGGACCTGGTTGAATCTTGAAAAGTTCTTGTTGGGGGCCTTTTTTGCTGATGAGTTTTTGATAAAAATCTAATCTTTCTTTCTCCCACTGGCCTTGTTGTTCAACAATCTCTCCACCAATGATGAGAAGCTTGAAAGTCACATACATTTCAAAGAGCCCCTTTTGGCTCTTATTTTGTTTGTGCCTTTCAATGTTGGGTCACGCTAATCTGTAGACAGGGAAAAAACAGAGCACAAGTGAGAAGAAGGTTCATCAACTTTTGTGCAGGGTTTCTTTCATCATATATGAAAAAACTGCAGATGTGTGTGTGTATTTAACTATTTATATATATGTGTGTGGGAGCGTACTGTACATATATTTATGCATGAAAAGGTAGAATAGAATGGTTGGAAAGATTTTCTGGACTCTTTTCATGTGCAATTGTGCAGTGTAATGACAGGAAATGCCATGGACAGTGATTGGCAGATGCACATGTTACTGCACAGGGATAAGTTTTTTTTTTTTTCTTCTTCTTGATATTGGTCCAGGTTTTAATTCACAGGAAAAATAAAAGTTAAAAAATATTTTATAAATACTATTTCCAGTTCCACACCATTATTAAAATGATACAAAAAAAAGTGCATTATTTTTCATATGTGGCTTTTGTTTTGTATAGTGTGGGCTTATGAGGGAAAAGGTTATACATGTATTATTGAACCACAGGTCCGAGAGCATTTTAAAACTCATATTTGGTACTACCTCCTTTTTTAAATAAATGTCGTTTTGACTTTTTTGATTCATCCATTTTGCTATCTAGACATATTAATGTCTAGATACATAGCAAAATGGATGAATCAAAAAAGTCAAAACGACATTTATTTAAAAAAAGAGGTAGTATATACTTTTGAGCCTTCTTGGGAATTGGGATCCAATTTTCTAAAACGTGATCCATTATTGGTAATATCATTAATTAGCATATCAACGAAAACGAAATTATTTCAGGATTTATAAGTGTTAGTTGGGGAGGTAATAATCTATTATAGGTGTGTGTTAGTTTTCGTTTAGCATGTATTCTTCATTGTTGGAGTGTTTAGTTTGTTTTTGTTTGAATTGGGTTGCAGCATACAAGTTTAGTCACTTTCAGTCACTGTCGATTGTATGAACTCAATCCAATTGTTTTTGTTTGTCTAGGGAGCTAGATTTAGCATTCCTCTCGATTCCACTTCTATGGTGTGTTCATGGGCTTAGTAGCCCTTCGGTCTTTTTTTAGGCTTATAATTTGGTAAAAAAAAAATGTGAATTTTCACCTCAGTCCACGGTTTTAACCTCATAAGTCATAAGAGCATCCCTAATAGAAGGTTTTCATAAGGTTTTTATGAGGTTTGAAAATCTGATGCTGAGAGGTTTTCTATTAAATACATCAGGTTTGAGGTTTGGTATTTTAACACAGCTCTTTGATTTCAAACTTCCATTTAAAATTATATAAAAATTATAATTACACATACATAGAGGTAAGTGATGTTCAAAATTCTCATGAAATGTGTGTGTGAGATGCACAGCGCGCGTGGAGAGAAAAAAGAGGTTGGCCCCACAATAATCAAATGTAGATAGTGGTTGTCTCCTCTCTTTTGCTAACATTTTTCTTTTTCTTTTTTTTGTTGTTTTATATTCGAAGTGTTTTCTTTCTTTTGTAAATTGACTTATATATTTATATATATAGAAATAAATATATATATATATATATATATATATATATATTAATTCAATATAAATTGAACTTAATCAAAAATGTATTCCTTCCTTTTAATATTAAATAGTGCAATATAGTTACATATAATTACATTATTATTTTTGTATGTATTTATGATAAATATGTGAAACATTTAAATTATATAAAAATAAAATTTAAGTTATAGTTTTAAAAAGTAATTAAAAATAAGAGTATACTATTAATTAAAAAAATAAGTGGAAAACGTGTGGGACCTATAAAAAAGAGGTTTATGAAGTTTGTTATTATTGGAGGTTTATATGTGTAGGAGTAAGAATGAGGTTTTGGATGATGTGGCATATTGAGAATAGATAAAAGAGGTTTGTGTAGGAGGGTTATTAGAGATGCTCTAACAATGCGCACTTGTACGCGACAAATGTGTTCCAAGGATTAAAAAATTTGTATGATAAATGCTCATGAGATGTGATGATTCTTCGGGATTAAGCAATGTCCTATATAGTTGACCGACTTAATAGCATACTTCAGACATAATTATTACAGAAAATTACCTGCACACTATTTTTTTAATACGCAATTACACTCCTTACATAATTATTAGCAAAATAGCTAGAGTTAATATAATTATTTGCACATGTGCCAGAAAAAAATTATTAAAAAGCCGATGGAATTAATTAATCTAATCAGCATGAACTAGGTAAAATGTAAGTTTTATGAAAAACTGATTCATATTTGAATGGTGATAAAATATTCTCTCTCTCTCTCTCTCTCTCTCTCTCTCTCTCTCTCTCTCTCTCTCTCTCTCTCTCTCTCTCTCTCTCTCTCTCTCATACCTTATTAAACCCATTGTAACTGCAAACTCTAGTCTTCAAGCAAAAAATATCCATGGCAAGAACAAACCTTCATATTGAAATATCGCGTGGAGAGTTAAGTCGGAGAATGAGGCAGACGGCGGCTTGGACTGTTGGAGGTCAGCAGACAAATTCTTCTCTTTTTATATATACATAAATGATGCTCATTGTTACTGTTATGTGGAAAATTATTATTTTTTTCTTAATAGATTCATAGTTCTAAGGTTGTGGATTTTGTATATTTATTTATTGCTGGCCGATGAGGAATTTTATATAGGTCAATCTTCTATAAAAGGTCATCATAATATTTCTCAGTATATATTGTGTTTATATTCTGTATATGTTCAGTATATGTTGCGTTTTTATATAAATATCATTTATCTAACCACGTTTATAGTATGTACATTTACATACCATCTATCCGACTGAAAAAAAAAAAATTAATGACCAAGTCGACTAGGTCGGCAATTATAAAAAAAAATATGTCAAGGCTTAACGACAAGCGTCAAATCTTGTACAAGAGGGCATCACAATATTTTTTAGTATATATTGCGTTATAGTCTGTATAATTTAAGTACATATGTTGCGTTTTTAACATTGATGTATTCATCTGAAAGGAAAAAAAAAAGTAAAACATATACAGTCAATAAACACAATAAAAACAACGCGATGAAATATAAAACGAAACATTTGTCATGGCACAAGAGGACAAATATATGTTTGATTTTTGTATATTTTGTATATATTTGGAAGATGATGCAGTTTTAAATTCAAATCTATTTTATAGTAAAATAGCATCCTATTTTATAGCGTATATAACCTTACTAAATATAATTATTTTTTATTTTATGTTTATCGAAAATCTCATATTGCGCAATTTAAGGAAGACATTACATTTGGTTTGGAAACTGATATCTATGCACTTCTACAATTATTGTCATGTAATTTGTAATAAAAATGCATTTAAGATTTGTCCCATAGTACAAATACAATTATTTCCATATCAAGTGGCAAATACGAAAATTCTAATTATTACTATTTGTTCAAATAGGCATATAACAGGTGAAGAAATAAACAAGCGTGCTATTAAGTTGCTAAAAAGTTTTATAGTAAACTAATGTGTGAATACACAACAACCAACAGCTGAATACACATCAATCAACAGCTGAAAAAAATGGGAGGACATGTCAGAAGACCGCCTAGAATCCCAATTAACAACGCTAGAATAAAAGTACTCGCAAGTAAACTAATCAACTACTCCAACAACTAAAACAACTAAAAGGACCCAGGTAATGGCCTTGTTTGACGATCAGCGGATAGCTGATAGCAGATAGCGGATTGTATTAGCGGATAGCGGATAGCGGATTATATTAGCTGATTTGACCAGCGAATTTCATTAGTGGTTTTTAAATAAGTGTTTGGTAAATAGCTAAAAGCTTATAACTGTTTGACATTGTAAATTACCAATAAGGACATTTTTATTATTTAGGGTGTATTCTTTTAATAATAATATATTAAAAATTTAATATTCTTTAGTTGGTAATTTATATATATATATATATATATATATATATATTTAAAATTTACTAACATTTGATTCAAAAGTTATAAATTTTACATTTTTCTAGATAAATTAATCATATGGATGACATATTATTACTTATTAGCACCATAAACCAATGTAAATCGTAAAAATAAATAATACAAATTAAAAAGTTCCAAATTAAAATAGTAGATTGTGAATCGTCTATCCCAAAAAGCTCCTCTAATGAGCTTTTTCTAAATTAGAGTTTTGGGCCCAAAAGCTTATCAAATAAGCTATTTACCAAACAAGCTCAATAGCGGATTTGACGGGTCAAACCCCTCAATTAAGTCCAATCCGCTAATTTTCTTCCGCTATCTTCCAAACGGGGCCAATATCCGAGTGTCGGATCCCACCAGGATAATAAGGTGACACTCGGATCCACAGAGGCCAACAGCTCAGACTAAAAACACAATCCTAAAAAATAAAATAACATAAACACGGACTAAACAAGTAAACTATATCTAATAAAAACATGCCCTCCCCCAGCAAAACACCCGGACTGAAAGAGGACAATAGACGACTCCTCGAAGAGAATTAAGACACGAGAACCACGCCAGCCACTGATGCCGAACGCCTAGCAAAGACGAAGACTCACACCTCAAGTCAATCCAAGAGCCGACCCGCTCTACCGCCAAGAGATGTCGACTCATCCCACACCAACCTGGCTAACACCACTAGCCAAGTTCCGTTAACGTTGGTCCTCCCCCGAAATCAACACCAGAGAGCAGGAGAGAAGGGACCCCATATCGACATCAACACCCCGATTATCCCACCATAGCCAACACCACCAGAGCACCCCTCACAGCCGCTGAAAACGAAACCCAGCCCACCCACTTCCACCATCGAGAGCCAGCTAGCCGGGAACCGGAACCGACACCTGCTAAACGGGAAAAGGGGAAGGAGCAAAGCAGCCGACAGGAGAAAAGAGAGGAATCGCCCGCGAGATGACCAAGCAAGAAACTTGGGCCGCAGCCAACCACTGTCGCCGCCCTCCACCATGCCTCGCCACCTAGAGTCTCCGACGACCTACAAGCGCAAATCGAAGAAATTTGCCGTAAGCCACCATCCTCAACCCTAGGCGCGTGAGACAAGGGGGAAAACACAACGAGCAATAGTGATGGCGCGCGCCGGAGAGCTGTCCACCGACAGTCGGTTGTCTGCTGGAAGAGGCACTAATCGACGGGAACGAGGCTAGATCACAAGAGAGGAAAAGGGGTGTTTTTATTAATGGTTGAAATTAATAAAAATACCATCTAATACACCTACACGTAAAATAATAAAAGTAACGATTTTATTAACTTCCATTCATGACCTTGATCTAGTTTGTTTAATTTTCAAACTCGGCTTTAAATGAGATGAATTCGACTTTGTCTATTTAACAAATGCTAATAGATAAATCAACTTATGTTATTTTTGTTGTTTGATCGTTAAAACTCGAATTGTGAAATTGATAAACGAGTTCGAGCTCATTTATCAATTGCTCAAGTTAAGGTGCAAATCTAGGCTCTGAGTTTGAATTTCAATACCAAGAGCTGGAGCTAGGAATAACCAGTTTACATCTTTGGGATTGCATAGTTGTACACAATCATTCAAAGTTGAACTATCATATTAGGGCATATTATTAGAGCATCTCCAATGCTCAAATGTTGTTGTAGTAAATTACATATCACATCAACATATTGTGGTCACAAATGTTGTACACAATCATTTAAAGTTGAACTATCAAATTAGTAAATATCACAACTTTTCATCCTCCAATGTACAATGTGATTACAAATATTGTGGTGATGTGTGGACATAATCAATATCCTCCACACCCTAGGTAGTCAATGAAGAGAAGAGAGAAATTTATTCTTACCATTTTCAAGTTATTTAATTATTTAACTAATTCTTTAAATTTTTATTAAAATTTTAATAATTGGTAAGTAGATAATACTGAAGTTAGACTACATTGTGTATTGGAGTAGTTGTGAACTTAACATTATTTCTACATGTTCACAATTTATTTAATTTATTGACATTTGTCATATGTTATTCTATAACAAAATTAGAGCATTGAAGATGTTATTACTGATAAATTCCTAGTATTTTATAGTTGGAAGTTAATTTGTTACTTGCAATAATGATGAAAATTGACAGAAAGAAAATTATTGTTATTAAGAAAAGAAAAAAGATAGAGAGAATAAAATAGAAATATTGTGACCTTATATTCCATGTGGTCATAAAATACTAAAAAATGTGAAGAAAATTAATTAATTAAAAAAGAAAAGGTGTGGAGAGGAAAAACTAAAACAAAAAGGTTAAGGGGCAAAAAAGGAAAAAAGAAAGAGGGATTGTATTGTACAGATACTACCAACAACAAGTCTTCTACTTGTGAGAAGGAAGGAAGAAGGGAGAGAGCAATGTTTTCGTCTGAATAATTGATTGAATAGAGATAGAAAGATTAGACAGAGATGAAAATTTTCTATATATATATATATATATATATATTCGGATAAGCAGAATCAGCTCACTCTCTGATTATCAAACAAATTCTAATTCTTAATCTGTTGAAAACCTTATCTCCTGTACCTTTTCGTGTTTGTGTGGTCATGGATACGCTCAGTATGGCTTCTTTCACCTCAGAGTTTCGTGAAGGTATATTGATGTGAGCCAGATCTAGTTGTACCCTTTTTATTCCGTTTCAATTGTATTTGGTTTTTTTATTTTTTGTCGGGTTTTTTTTCGTGATTGATGGTTCATATATTCAGAGATCTACAGAGGTAGGTTGTGAGATTGAAGTCCAATGTTTATACTTAAAACTTTTAATCGTTGTTTTTGCTGGTTACTGATTTGTTTACAGAAATTTTGTAGGATTTTTGTTTAATTTTGTACTTGACAAAGTTACAGTTTTCTTTAGTGGGTGCATGGATGATAGCTGCTGACGATGAATGAGTTCGATGTCTGCAGGTGATTAGTTGTTTGGCGAATGTTTTTGTTCATCTTTTTTTGCTTGATTATTATTTGTTGCTGTGAGAAAGGTGTGGGCTTTGTTACTCTAATTATACCTGCCTTTTGTACTGTCCTTGTTTGTTTTGGATAGGTGTTGTTTATTATTCTAAATATGGTAAAATTCAGGTGACCTAATTTACCTCATGTTCTGCTTTAACTAGAAATTTGTCTCAAGTTGTTGGCTCTTGCAAATTTTTAGCAGTATGATTTTACAGTCTTTAGAAGGATAAGAATGAGAAGAAGATGATGGTGATAATCATAATTTGTACGTTTTTTCCCCCAAAAATACTATTTGCCGTCGCTATAATCAGATTACATGCCTCATTGAGATTCGAGACTCTCTTGCCTGTCATGTCTTTGAATGTAAGATTTGAGATCACTTTGTTCATGATTAGTTGCCTTTTCCAGCTACTTTCTTCGCGATTCTTATTTTCTTATCGGTTTGCATTTTTTGAGAGTTGATTATTATTTTATCTTGCTCACCATTGAGAATGGATTTTTCTAATTTTTTATTCTTCATATATTTGCAGGGTTTGGCTGACACATATTCAGTATTACATATATCCATTTATTCTTCCCTTCCTAAAGAATTCTATATCCATTCTCTAGCAATTTAAAGACGAAAAATATCATAAGCAAAATAAGAATGCACTCCCCTGGAAATGGAGCTTCTTCTGGTGACAGAAAGCTTAATGCTGCAAAAGCAACTCTGAACCCCAACGCCACAGAATTTGTTCCTTTTGCCCTCAGGTCACCTTCTGCTAGCATAAGCAGCTCAGGGGCATGTTCAAAGTTCGCTAACGCCAAACCTTTCACACCTGGGAAAAGTGTATTAGACAGATCAGGATCGTCTGCTTCAATCAATTCCGACGATGAAGCACAACAGTACTGGCGCCATCAGCTTCCCGATGATATAACTCCTGATTTTAAGGTCATGGGATCAGAGGACACTCAAGGAGTCAATAGCTTACCATTTTCAAGCTTATCGTTGACTGATATTAATGAAGGTTCAAGATATTCTGCTTCAACGGGAGTTTCTCCTCATCCTATTAATGGTAACAATCAAGCTGAAAAGCTGAGATTCTCACCTTATGGAGAATATGCATCTCCAACTGATTTCCATCCGTTGCCCGGCAAACCATGGGACCCACCAATTGTAGGAAATGATCAGCTTCTTGCTCGAGAAGTACATGAAGGTGGAAATTCGGGACATGACTATCTGGGTAAAGTGTCAAGTGAGCAGTTATTCTACGACAATCCAGATGTGAACCCTCTTGACCTTTTAGCTTCGCAATTTCCGGGCTTTGCTGCGGAAAGTCTTGCGGAGGTGTATTTTGCTAATGCCGGGGATTTAAATCTTACTATTGAAATGCTTACTCAGCTCGAGGTAGCTATTTTGCAAACATTTTTGGATGTGAAGTTTGATAGTTTTACTTTCTCTTTAAACAGTTAAACTTAAACATTTGTCAGCCATGGGGTTGGATATCAATTCTAAGTCTAAATTGAGCTTTCTTAATTGACTGGCAAATGGGATGATTTTTATGGAGAATACTCTTGCACACACAAGTGGCTTTTCCGTGGTACATGGATATCTTGTTATTTTTAACTTCTCAATTTTGTTGCAGCTTCAGGTCGATGGTGGATTAAATCAAAGTCTCAACTCAAAAGCCTTGTCCTCTCCAAATCTTAGTGCCATGGACTTTCCAGCTCTTACTTCCAGGGTCGATCAGAACGATTTATCAAAATTTGGAGGTGATAGCCTCCATCGAAATGGTGGTTCCACACTATTATTCAGATCTAATTCCTTTGCTCCAAGAGGTGCCACAGATTTTGCTTCAGCTGTGAGAAAAATGACGTCTCAAGATTCCAACATATGGAAGTATGAAAGAAATGGTTCTTCGGGTGCAACCATTGGATCAAGTAGAAGTTCCCAAGTTTTGGCTAGCTCTTATAATGGGGCTCCTAACAGGAGTGTGCACGGTGATAAGTATCAGAGTCGAGGATCAGCTCACGCGCCTCCAGTTTGGCTTGAAACGGGAGAATCTGTCGGTAATGATATATTTTGGGCAATGAAATTTCGCTAGCTCGTTAAATATTTTGGAAAATAATTTTATGCGGGTTTTTATAAACTTTAACTTTGATGAGCTGGCAGCGAATATGTACTCTGAAATGCGGGAGGAAGCTCGTGATCATGCACGTGTGCGTAATGTGTACTTTGAACAGGTATGTTATGTTCGTAGCAGAGCAGTATCAATTATAAATTTTTAAGCTCCTTTTTTTCTTGCATGAATTTATCGCCACTGTAACTTACCAGAGAACTTGAACGGGTTGTGATTAAACTAATTTGACTTTATGAACATGTCTAAGAGTTCATATTTTATTGAGATGTTTTTTTATTTATATTGTTTCAAATATGTGTATCTATTAGACTATTAGTGAAGTCTGTTTAATGTTGGTTGAATTTTCCATGTGAAATAAGGCACGGCAAGCATACCTTATTGGTAACAAGGCCTTAGCCAAGGAGTTGAGCATGAAAGGACAGTTGCACAACATGCAGATGAAAGCAGCTCACGGGAAGGCACAGGAAACTATATATCGTCAGAGGTTTGTTGTCTGTGGAACCAGTAAGCGCATAGGTTTTAATTCATGTCAATAATAACAATGCTGGCCTCTCCTCAATTTGGTAATATTAAAATTGCAACACTTAGTAATCCTTTGAAATCTTTACTGGTTTTATTATTTGGTCATGTTTCACAAATTCATATACTGATATTCAGATCGTAGTATTTGTAGTGGAAGTATGTGTTGAATAGATCAAAGAAGAGTGTTTGGGTGGGTTGCTCCATTGAAGTCTAGTTTGAAGCATAAGTTGAAATCTAAGGTTGTGCTTGGACAAGGAAAACCCAAACTATTTTCTATCACTTTTTTTTTTTTTTAACTCAAATCTATCAAACCTACTATCATCAGTGTTATCAATATTATTAAATAATGTCAATCAATCATCCTTACACATCACATCAACTTTAATTCACTATTCATCCAGCTCATATTATTTTAACTATCCGTCACTTCCAACCACATCTCTCATACTTTTACATCGAATCAACTTTCATCATTTTATTTTAAATATTATTTTACTACGAATCCAAAATTTCACTCAAACCTAACACAACTAACTTTTACAAAATTAACTAGGGTTAACCAAAAAAATCAATGACAACCAAAATATATCATAAACTTACATCCAAGCACAAGCATTCCTTAATTTGCTTTTGGAATTTTGTTTAGTCATGCAGAATCAGACGCAAAAATTAATGTTTGGAGTCGCACACTTTTACTTTGTTCAGCCAAGTTGGATATCAATACTTTCTTTCTTTTTTGCTGGCACTTTCTGAGTCTTGTTGCGTGGTGTTTGCTAATGTGCAGGAATTCAGATATTCAGACAAATGGGAGAGAAAAAATGATCGATCTTCATGGTCTGCATGTGAGTGAAGCTATTCATGTGCTCAAGCGTGAACTAGCTGTGATGAGAAATGCCGCCAGGTCAATGGACCAACGCCTTCTTGTCTTCATATGTGTGGGGACAGGTCACCACACGCGAGGTTCACGTACTCCTGCCCGACTACCGATTGCAGTCCAAAGGTACCTTCTAGAAGAAGAGGGTCTCGACTTTTCTGAGCCTCAGCCGGGGCTCCTTCGAGTTGTAATATACTGAATCGGGCAGGTATAGAGATTTTTGACATACTATGGGAAAAAATGTTGGAAAAAATGAAAAATCTGTTGTAAGTAAATGGTAAAGCTGTGTAGGATTACTCTGCAGATGGGTAAAAGGTACAAGAATGAAAACAAAAAAGATGTTAGAAGGTCGGGGGAAGAGGCTCATATATGTCTGTACTACTATAACTGTGAAGTTGGCCGATGTTTTAGAGTATGTTTTTGTAGCTGTAACTGATTTACAATTGCGATCGGTCTATTTTTGTTGATCTCTGTACTTTAATCTTTTTGGGTTACATTTTCGCATCATTTGTGATGTATGTGCAGTCGTGCAGCAGATGCAATGGAGAATTGTTGCAGCTGGATTAAATTTTCTACTCGAGAAATTTCACCATTGGAAATGGGTAGAGTTTACAAATCAAGATATATTTCTTGGATATCATTGCGAACACTACCCAATTCCTCAAGTGCATTAGAAAATGCTAATTTGACAAAATCTTTGGAGATAATCCTTGATATGGAATAATGTACATAGGATGCTATGGACTTCTCACATAGTGAACGCACACATATTTGGATGTGCCTACAAGCCACGGTGTCGATAGCTCATAATTCGTTTAACACCATACATGCATCGCACTAAGATGTGTAACGAGTAACATGTCATAACTTCATAATTCTTGAACACAACACATACTATGTTAATCTCTCATATTAACTCATGCTAAATATGTCTAGTGTCAAAATTCCATAATTCTTGAACACATGCACATAATAGTATGTTATTTACTGTTTATTCATGAATATACTCTTACTTTTGATAGGGACAACAAACTAGTGAAGCTACTCGAGACTTTTGAGTAAATACTCTTTATTTTAGATAGGAACAACAAACTAGTGAAGCTACTTGAGGCTTTTGAGTTTTTGATTGATTGTGGGAACCTCCTTTGAGGCTGGTTTATTAACATAATAAACCACACTTTCTCCAAATCATTTGGCTAGATAGGAAATCTTGGGATGAATTTGTCTCCAAAAGTAAAAAATATGTATTCACCTTTCCATCTTCAATTATATTATTACTTTATTAGATAGTTGTAACTGTCACACCGCATGCGTAGGATATGTTTGGTAAAACTAACTAATAAGCTAGCTTATAGTTTATCAGTAATTTTTTAGCTTATAGCTTATGACTTATAACTGAAAAACTAGTCTATATGATAAAAGTGTTTGGTAATATTAGCTGATAAACTAGCTGTAATAAAAAAATTCAATTAGCTTATTTGAAAAGCTACCTAAAGAAGCTTATCTAATAAGCTCGAGTTTTTTTTAAAAAACTCGTCCTATCAAACAATATCTATTTGAATACAAGAAGCTTATAAGTTAGCTTATTTGTCTACCAAACATATCCCTAAGCTGTTTTCTAATAGTCAATGAAATCCAAATGAAACACTGGAAATTCTCAAAAAAAATGGAAAAGAAACATAAAAAGGAAGTTGTGGCTAAAACGAAACTTTTTTATATTTAGAGGGTAGGAAAATAAAAAGAATTTGGCATGGAGATGCTAATAAATAAAGTGCCATAAAAACTGATACCGACTGTGGTCTTGACCGTCCGATCAAATTAGCATCCAAGGACTAAAATTTATCCACGCTACCTAGTTTCTTCCTTTGATTAATCACCCACTATATGGCTCTAAATGCTTCCACGAACATCGCTCGTAGGGCGTCCGATCAAACCCGAATCCGACGGCTACCGTGTCATCAATGCTTTTTCCAACCTTGTGCCTTAATTCTCTGGTGCTTGTCTTATTATTACTGTCCCGCTCTTTTTCTCACACTCTACAATAATCTCTTGCCTGCTTCTCTCTTGTTTACTCTCTCTATTCCACATTCCCTTTAATTTATTTCGAAAAAGGAAATGCAAGACCAAGCTACGAGTACTTCTTTG